ACCTTCGGGCCCTACTACGTCACAGGGGAAATGATCCGGAAGAACGTAGTCGAAGACCAAAAAGGCATCGACCTCTACCTCGAAGTGCAATACGTTGACATCACCACCTGCGAGCCCGTCCCACACCTCTACGTCGACATATGGAACTCCAACGCCACGGGCTACTACAGCGGCGTTGAAAACGGGCAAGGCGGCCTCAACACCACCTTTCTACGCGGCGTCCAAGAAACGGATGCTGATGGCGTCGTAGCTTTCGAAACCTTGTTTCCAGGCCACTACACTGATCGCGCAACACACACGCACCTTCTCGTTAAGAGCAATGTGACCGTCCGCTCAAACGGCACCACGGGCGCCGATGGCACTATCGCACATGCCGGTCAGCTTTTCTACCCTGAAGATCTCAAGGCTGAGGTTGAAGCTACGGAACCGTACATCTTCAGTACGCAGCCGTATATCACTAACGACAACGATTTCTTGTCTGTTGTGCAGGCCGATGACGATTTTGATCCGTTTCCTCAGTATGTGTATCTGGGTGATGGGGTCGAGGATGGGTTGATGGCTTGGATTCAGATTGGTATTAATACTACGGCTGATCATAATGACGATCAGATGTTCGGTGTTGCTGCGGATTATCAGGCGGGTGGTGGCGTTGCGAATAAAAATCAGACGGGTGCGGATCTGATTGGCGGGCCGGGAGTTAATGGAACTACGTCGTCGGGTGCTGTTTCCTCTGGTGCTACCCCAGGGGTTGTTTGAGACTTCATTATGGTGACTACTTGCATATTCGTTCTTGTACTTTCCTTGTAGAAGCCCCGTTCTAAGTACATAGATGCATTCACACTATCCACGCATCTGTGTCGTTCGAAAAACGCTTTGCGCTTGCCCGTTCACATACTCGCTTTACCCCTACTCTCGAAAGGCAGTATAAGCACCAAAATACCCGCAGCGATAAACAACGCCCCACTAACATAGACCGGCGCACTCGTCTCCAGATCCGCAAACATAGCCACAATAGGCGCCATGATACCAAACACCCTGTTCGCACTCGCCGTAATAGCATTTCCCGTACCGCGATCTTTGGTCGGAAAGATCTCAGGCGTATACGCATACAAGACCGCATACATAATGTTGCTCATGAAGTTATAGGCGCAGTTCCATCCTAGGAGGGCGTTGGAAGTGAGTGCCGTGGTGGAACAAAGGAGGAAGACTCCAGTGAGTACTGTGGAAAGGGCTAGGGTGCCTTTGCGACCGATATGCGGTGTTTCGACGAGTACTGCGCCGAGGATGCATCCTGGTACGCCAAGCACGGCGATGATGAGACTGTTGCGGTAGGTGATGTAGGTCGAGCCGTCACCGAAGTCGGCACCGCGGGTGGCCTGAATGTAGGGCAGGAAGGCGTTGTAGAGGGGGTAGCCGAGGCCGATGAATGCCCAGACTAAAGTGATGGTGCTGGTTGAGAAAGCGAGTTTCTTGGTCGCGAAGAGAGCTTTGACGTGCGAGCTATCCAGCTTCTGGAGTTTACGCTTGACGGCTGCGGTGGCAGTGCTGGTCTGCTGGACTGTACCGGGTAGTGCGTAGTTGTTGCATGATTCCAGTTCTTCAAGTGTGAGGGTGCATTCTTTTCTGTTTCGGCGCGCGACTTCGTGGACGATGCGGACGGCGTCTGCGTCTCGGCCTTTGCCCATCAGGAATTTGGGGGACTCGAAGATTGTGAAGAAGACGAAGCGGCCAATGAACATTAGGAGAGCGACGCCTCCCATGACCTTTGGAAAGTATTAGCAGATACTTCCAAGAATGTAAAACTCAGTACTCACGATCATGAAGTACCGCCATCCCATATTTTCTCCTCTCGTGCAGTTTGTATCCGTCTGCTGACAGGTGAGGTTTCCAAGTAACGGCCATGCTACAAGCGTGGCAAAGACTTGCGCGAGCGCCCAGTAGATCGACAAAATCGTAAGCAGATACTGATGGCTCCCAGGCAAGAACTCCAGGAAAATCGCTGAATCCACAGGCAGGTTTCCGCCCACACCAACAGACCAAAGAGCAGCGAACGTGCCAATAGCACCGAAATTGGGGCTACTTGCTGCTATCATTCCGAACACAGCCGTGATACCGATAGTGAGGTTGAATGCCCATCGTCTTCCGAAGATGTCGCAGCCAAATCCCCAGAAGACGGCGCCGAAAAGAAGTCCGATGTTTTGTGAGAGGGAGAGCAGCGGTGGGCGTGTGGGGTTGAATTCGTTGGTTATGGGCGTGAAGATGAGGGATGTTACTATCGGCCAGAGATTGTCCATTGCCCAGCCGAATCCAATCACGATGAAGAGCTGGGAGAAGTTAGTTTGTTAGATGGAGCTGGATGGAGATGAAGGACGAGTATGGAGGAAAGGTTGCTTGTGCGAAATGTGTTCACGATAGATGTGGGAGTAATGATGAGATGAGTACTTACCTGCCATTGATACCTCCCCATACCTATGTCTTGCATGGCCTTGTTTAACATCTTCGCTTTGGCTTCGTACACGGGGTCCAACGACCCATCTTCCAAAACGCTCACCGGCGCTTCTCCATCTCTTGCTACGGTTTGCGCTGAAGGTTCCTTGTAACCGTGCGATTCATCCGTCTTTACTGGCGAGTCGGCCATTATTTCTTTTCGCCCTTCGAAGCCGGCTGCGAGCGCAAAAAATGTAAGAGCGGAGGTTAAACTAGATCGCAGTAAACACAGACAGCCGGGTTAAGTCAAGGTAACAGGTGGCGAGGGACAACAAGCATTAGCGTCGCTTAAGAACTTAGTGAATGGAGGATCTCTAACGGAATGATATTTGATTGAGCCAGTGGGTTGGGAAACTGCATGATTAGTGTGACGACTTATAATGTTCCTTGTCGCGCAATCGGGCTTCCCGCTCGCGCAATACCACGCGGAGGAAGGTACCACCACTGCGATGGGCGGGGTACATCCAGGGGAACGCCATGGTGGTACTGCGTCCACAACTCTGGTCCACACATGCGATAAGGAATTGAAGCCGTTGTGACTGTCCTGTGGTAGGCGATAAGCGATGTCAAGATGGTTACGATCTGCAGTGCATGCGAGGTGGTGTGGGAGATGGCGGGCTAGGTCCTGACGGGAGTTACTCCGCGCTAGTATGACGTGCCGTCACACTTGAGCTGACCATGCGAGATCCACGTCAACCATGTTAGGAATCTTGAAGGTCGGTAGTCATTATTTGTGTGTACCAAGAATCTGCACGTCTATGTTTGGTGTACATAATCTCGACGTAAACACCAGCAATGCATAATGCAGGCCGGTGCAGTAGCATGACCGCGTACCATGGTCTACTTCCACAGCTTGCTCAAACTGGTCGCCTTGTCGTCGTGCTTGTTCAGCACCTTCGCAGTCGCCAGATCGAAGTCCTCCTGTGTAACGTGCACTCTCCTCTCCCTGAGGGCGTACATACCAGCCTCAGTGCACACACCCTTCAGCTCAGCACCCGAACATCCGTTCATCTTCTCCGCGACCTTTGTCAGGTTGATACCACGCGTCAAGTTCATGCTCCTAGAGTGAATGCGCAGAATGTCGGCACGCGCCTCGACGGTTGGCGGTGGGAACTCGATCTTTCGGTCGATACGTCCGGGTCGCAGGAGGGCGGGATCTAGAATGTCCAGTCGGTTGGTCGCCATGATGATCTTGATGTTCTTGGTTGGCTCGAAACCGTCCAGCTGGTTCAGCAACTCCAACATAGTTCGCTGGACCTCGGAATCACCACCTGAGCTTCCCTCCACTCGACTTGATCCAATGCTGTCAATCTCGTCCATGAAGATAATGCTGGGTGCGTGTTCTCGTGCCATGACGAAGAGTTCACGAACCATGCGACTACCCTCACCAATGTACTTCTGTACCAGCTCGCTACCAGACACACGAATGAACTTGCAGTCGGCGTGATGTGCGACCGCACGCGCAAGCAGTGTCTTTCCTGTTCCAGGAGGACCGTATAGTAGAACACCCTTGGGCTGAGCGATACCGAGCGATTCGAAGAGTTCGGGATGTTGCAGACCCAGCTCAATGACTTCCTTGATCTCCTTGATCTGCTGGTCCAGACCACCAATCATGTCGTATGTGCTGTCGGGCACCTTCTCAACCATCATGAGCGAGACGAGGGGATCGACGGACGAGGGGAGGAGCTTCTCAAGCTTGTAGGAGTCACTGAGAAGAGTGACGCGCTTTCCGGCGGTGAGTTTGCTGATATCTACGCTGTCCGCGACATCGACGACTGCCTTGATTAGTCTTGATTCCGTCTATGCTTAAAGTGATACATACCATATTTGCCCTCGGGGTGAACCTTTACGAGCACCTTCTTGGTACCCATGACCTTTACTACCTCTCCGACGTAGGATCCCGGTTGCTGTAGGAGGCCGAGCTCTTCTCGCAATAACCGTACTCTTGAGTTGTAGTCATTGCGCTGAGCTTCAAGTCGTCGTAGCTTGGCCTGTCCCTGTATGATCTCGAGCTTCATCGTCTCGATCTTGTTGTGGAAGAAGGTGTCGAGCGCCATGGCTGTGGCGGGCGCCGGCGGCGATGTTTAGGCTAGGGTGTTGTTTGGGGCGGAGTTGTATGCAAGGAACTCGTTTAGTGAGCGACGGCGAAGACGGTGGAGTAAAGGTTGTGGGTGAGATAGCGATGGCGACTGGTGCACCTTGGTGTTGACGCCCGTGACGGCGTGGAAGCTTCCGAAGCTGGCCATTGTCGGATTAAGGTTACGCCGGGCCACTAGCGCATACGCGTTGGAGGAAGGAGCACACGCGCCGACAGGTCTTACCACAGCAACGTTTTTCACCGGCTCTCAATCATACATTGATTATTCACATTTGCATTTCCTTGCATTATCGCACAGTCGCCAGATTCTCGTAAGAAAACACACGTATATCAGCATGGTCCGCTTCTGGCATCGCCGAAGGCCACACGGCCACCAACTCCAAATCTACATCCGTCCTAACGCCTCACGTCTTCCTTAACGCGTGCTTACTGGTCTCTGTCGCGATGGTACTGCGATCTTACTTTGCCGGTCGAGCATCATCGAGAATATGTCCCGCGATATAGGGTAGTTGACCTGGCAACTCTGGTCTTCAGCTACGTTGTCCTGGATCTTGAGACGACTTATGTCTTTCCACATATCCTGTTCGAGAGCAGCATTCACTTGCAGAGCCTGGTTCCGCGCTGTGTTTCGCGTGATGATGCGCTCGGTCTTGACCGGCAACTCGCGAGGTGATATTTCGGAATCATCAACGAGCGTCTCGTCTCCGCTATCTTCGCCATCGCCATTGATCTCCTTGTCAAGAGCTCTGAGATCTGTAAGAGTCAATGGCATCGTGCCATCATCTACGACTGTCAGTTGAAGTGGACAGGTTACGGCGGCGCAGAACTTACTTGATGGACTTCGGCCCTTCAACAAGCGTGCAATTCGCAACCCCTCGCAGTTGGGAATATGCTCCCTCAAGAAAGCGTCTATTCGCTTTATAACTTCCGCATTGACTACGGCCTCCTTTCCAATAGTACGTATTACTCCGATGTGGGCGACCTGGATGCGCAAAATAAGCAGGGTCTTGACTTGGACCAGCTCATCCATGATGGAACCAAGCTTCTTCTCATCCGCTGAGCCATGGACCAGCTGACGCGCTAATTGGTTGACCTTGCTTGCCGTCTTGGGGTCGAGCGTCTCAAGCAATTCGGCCAACTTGTTCTGCACAGCTTGAAGTCGGACGAGCTCGGTAGCAACAGTAGGGATTTGCAGGTCCTCTTCATCGTCTATTATACCGATGATCGTCTTGATACTCTCGAGCTCGCTACGGTGTCGAGCCAAGACTTCAGCAAGAGCTTTCTGACGAGCGTTTGCCCTGCGTAGGCGATCGAAGATTCGGAAGGCTTGCTCCACAAGTTGTGTGGTAGCTTGGATCGCAGCGAAAACAGCCAGTACTTCAGCCTGTTACGACACTTCAGCTGGGCCTTCCTGAAGGAGCAGTGTACTTACCATGGTCTTTAGTGGAAAGATTGCGCTGTTGCAGAAGAAGAGATTATCACGGCTTGCGCTGACAGATCAAAGGGCGCAATACCGCACTTATCTTCAGCTGAACTTATCCGGACCACCTTTGGGGCGCAGTGTCAGTTGTGAGTCGACCGTGATTGCGGTTGGTCCGGTGAAGTTCGCATCATGCATGCATGCGAGATCGCAGCCAGTGATTCGCCATCGCGAAGCGACCTGCAGCCATAAATGCACCCCAAAAGCAACTCATGTTCGCGCTGTATCGGCGTCCAATGGGGTCGACGATCTTTTTGCGGGGTGTGGTCACAGGCTGACAGTACTCGCACACGATGCCACGTCCTGCCAGGGTTCGAGACGGCAGAAGGGTGTGGATTGCGCGCAGATCGAATTGCCGATTTTGTTTCTTCCCATGTCCGTTCAGCGCAGGACCGAGCCAGTACCGAAGAGGAGATCAAACCGGCCTTGCTTGACAACGAAGAATCGATACACGACAAAGGCGTCTTTCCCTTCCTGCGAGTGACAAGCGAGCTCGACATATTCGTGTGTGGACGGCAGGTGGATGCGACTCGAGGCAGTCTCTACTGTGGACGTTGAGGTTTTGTACACTGTAAGGCCAAGTCGGCGTACAATCTTGTGCGCGATGAAGTTGTTGGCCATGGTTGGCCGGAATATGGCGCGAACAAAGTGTCGGCTGTCGCTCGTGCAGGATTCGAGCATCAAATTTTGTCCTTGTAGGACTGATGGGTCAGAAGCGCTCTTCTGCTCGTTGTCAGCCGCCACCCTGCACCAAGTCGCGCGACGTTCTTTGCTTACTGGAATTTGTGCAGAGAACTTCGCGGACACTCTGGATGAAGACGGAGCTTCCAGTACTTGTTGCACATCGAACGTCTTCTCTCTGCATCTGCTCGATTGTGCTGATCTGGCTCCGGTGGACACGACGAACAAGTTCCCACTTGTCAATGTCAGAGGCATGCTGGGCGCAAGGTGTTGGAGTCGAACTTACATGTTAAGATTGTAGATATTTTCGGCCACATGTCCATTTATCTGAACAGCATTGCCGCTGGAGACATTTCGGCTAATAGATGTCGTTGTCGCCATGATTTGTTTGTCCTCCAGAACACGGCTGGACGTAGACGTCGACAACATGTTCGATACGCTCTCTGGAAAACATTAGCTGGGACGATCCTTCCTATGGGACTGATCCTACGCGCAGGCCTCAGCAATCGGGACGGAGGAAGGCTGTGAAGCTGTGATTGGAACGAGCATCTTGTCAGCCGGGCGGGGTACGAAAACGCCGTGACCGGTGTGCTGCGGACTGCATACAACTGCTCCAGGTTTGCTGGGTGGTGTTTCGCAGCCCTGTTCAAACTTGCAGATCCGGTCAACTCAGAGCGGCAAAGCGCATACTGAAGCGAGAGATTGCCCTGATATCGATGGATCAATAAGCGCTTCTGGGTTCATGAGCGAATCTTCGGCCTGCGCCCCCATCATCGTCTGCCTTGCCGCCAGGTTCGTATCACGCGCAATGCGCTTCGTACGGTCATCTTTTCCTTACCTCCTCACGCTGCGGCAACGATGAGCGACATTGATCGAGTGCGCCTCGGCTAGCGCTGCTCTCCGCAGCCGTCCAAACCCCGTTCGTGCGACAACAGTAAGCCCCACCCACATGCGGCCGACTGCTTCGACTGCGCATCATGAACCACTATGGTACACACCAGTTAGTCACCCAGCTGGTCGGCGATAGCCCAGGGAAGGCCATCGACATCCTCACAAGGTGTTGCGAAGACCCCAAGATCCTCGAAGAAGTAACTTCCTACCTTTTACAACCAAAGGCGAGGCAATACGGGACACCCACTCCTCCCGCCAACAGATTCGATATCACATTCGCGCCACCTCTTTCACCAACTTCACATAGTTCACATAACACTGGGACCCCACCTCCGCGCCAGAGGCTGCCCCGCCGCCTTTCATCAACGACTTATCCACTGAGCCCTCCTGGGACAGCATCATCGGTGACATCACGCTCTACTAGAGATGGAGGCGGCTCGGGGGAGTACATTCTGCTTCCAACTTTCGTTGGAGGTAAAGTGGATGAACTGAGGGTCCGGATGAAGACCGCGCCGATCACACACAGCGTGATACGTGATGACGTTGTTGGCAAGCGAAATCTTGAAGATTCTTTCAGCCTGAGTCCGGCCGAAGTAGGACATGTACAGGTGCCACATCGCGTATCGGGCGGAGTCCAAACAGTACCAGTGTCCTGGTCCATCGACCTGACATGGCGCCGACCTCATTCTGACTCGACGCACAGCACTGTGTTCTACTTGGTGCCTAAAGAAGTGCTCGACATTGATATGTGTCTCGGATACGATGACTCAGGCGATGCAAGCCCAGGTGTGTATATCGTGCAACGACTATCACGTTAGGCCATTTGGCTGATTAGATGCGATCTTTGGTTAGAATTCACACCAACCATAATCCCTCAACCGCAAGCTCGACAAGCACCTCAATTCCCTGAATACAAGCAGGAAATGCGTCCTCATGCGCCGACACCACCTTCAGCATCGTACCATCGTTCAGCGATGACCCAGAACGAATCCCACCGCGCAAGCCCCGTCTTCCATCAAGACGGGCAACACCACCCATATCATATCGTCGAGCCCTTCCTTGCCCGACAGCAGTCATATGGCGCGGCAATGGGGGCCCACCAACCCTCGCCCGCCCATACTGTCTTAGGTTCGCACATCGAGCATCCCCAGCCACTCCGACCCAACCCTGCGCCCGCAAATCCTGCTCGAGAAACCGATCCCAACAAAGCTGCCGATAGAATCAGGTTGAGCCTCGTGTGGGACGCGACGACCCTAAATGTATGGCTAGATCTCAATGCGCACGGCGAGGCTTTCTACAAGGCCTTCCAACAGCAGGCTACAAAGCAGCGCAAGGACATACTAGATCGAGCAACGATGACGATCTTGTTGAAGAAAGACAAGAGTATCCCCGACGAGGAGGCTTACGCACTTTCTCTGGACGAGGATGACTTGGATGCGGACTGGGAGACGACTTTGGAATGGCTGGATGCGAACAAAAGAGACAAATCGCCTCATATTTGCGGAGTGGTTGAGATGGACGATGGGTGAAGGGAAACTACTCGCTCTGGGCTTTCGGTCCTGGAGTTGATGCCACAATACCTAAGCCCAATGTTGCTTGACGTAACGAGCGGCCTCAAAGAGACCGTCAGGGCTCTTGCCGTTTCCGGTACATGCGACCAAGGCTTGCACATCCTTACATCACATATTCACAACGAAAGAGGTGAGTGTATTGTCCTGGATCAAAGCGAAGTTCGACGCGATCTAATCAGTTATAGCACAAAGCAACGAGGCTCATGGCAAGAATGAGTCCTGTTACTGCACTGTCCAACACTGAACATGGCCATGGCTGTACTCTCCACGATCACATGTACCAAAGATCCGTAGAACTCATCTCCGCGGCGCGGAAGAGAAGCTGGGCGACGAGGTCGGATAATTGTCGCGCTTGGACACTCTGCCGGCACTGATCAAGCCTTAAAAGAACAATAGAGAATGCGATGCTATCTGTCTTACTTCGTGCGATCAAGACCCAGCTCATACTTCAAAGATATACGGCGTTTTACAACAAGAGTGGCACATATCCCGAAGCTGATATTTCATGTACGCTCGTCTAGTCAATCCTCTCAAATCCGTCCGTTGAACCATCTAGATGCTCGGGCACATCAAGCAGGACCATCGGCTTCTTGGGAGACGAAAACAGCTCCGACCATGCCGACGCTGTTGCAAGAACCCTTAGAACTCCACCCGACGTTCCGTCTGCTGCCTTGTTGAATGATCTCACGAGCTTCCTCATATTCTTCATGAAATCATCCATCTCGTCCCCCCACTTCTCATCATAGAAGTCGACAGCGTCGATGAGGATGAAGATCGCTTTATACTCCTTCCGCAGCTCGCGTAACAGTCGCACCACCGCTTTTGTGTATGTTTTGAAGCACAGGTTTTCCATGTTCGCGACATCATCGTGGCTCAGAAAAGAAAGTAGAGGGAGTCCGTCCTCGTCTTTTGATCCGTGCGCATCGCATGAAGCGAGCAGTTGTATGAAGAAGGCCCGTAGCATGAGTGCTGGCCCAGAGCGTACACTGCTGAGCCCACAAAAGAATGGAAGGACGAGTGTGCGCGGCGTGCTTTCCAGTTTCTCGTAAAGAAGCGCTATGAGGAAGCTCAGCGGGGAGGTATTCTCGAACTCGCCATAGCCCTGGATACACAGCATCTGAGACTTTCCCCTGCCGCCGAGCCAATTCTGGAACTCGGTAGTGTTGCCTACCCAGCCTGCGCGGTTCTGATATTTTGCCCGACTGTTCAGCCCGTGTCTGAGCACCGTGGAGACCTCTGCTACATGCGTATGCTTGGAGTGATTCAGCTCCAGTTCCTTCATAAGATGCTCTGGAGTGATTGCCGTCTTTGCGACCCGATCTTCAAGCTCGCTTATCCTTCGCTCTAGGCGCGGGTCAGTTTGCTGCACAGGGCAGATGTGCTCAAACTTACTGTCGTTTGCTGCACTCAGTCGTTGCTGTCTCAATTCTTCAGTGAGTTGTTTCACCTCGTTGTTCCCTTCTTGACGTCAGCCGTTCTCCGATGCGGTTACGAAGATTTGTGGCTTACACTGAGCATTCTTGATCACGTCATCGAAATGATCCTTGAGGGCGTTGATGCCATCGCTAACTTGAACGACGTGATTGTCAACGCGAAGTATATTTGAGTTCATCTCATATGACTGAGCATTGTTCTTGACAGCTGTTGCGAGTATGGCTTTCTGAGTCCAAGCCTGGTACAACTGGGTTTCTTCCAATAAGAGGACCTTAGACTGGCGGATGTTTTTGACACATTGGTCGATCGGTTTTCCGTAGTTACTGTTCTTCAACAGACTGTCTGTACCTCGTTCTACCATAGTCAGTACAAGTTCCACGGCCCTATGGAAAGACCACGGCATCGACGGATTCAACTTACTCCAGGCAGATTGTTTGTACCAGTCCACTATAGCTTCAAGAGCTATAAGAAGATTGGTGTAGACATCATTCACGCGTAACTGCATCGTATTACGCCCAGGATAGAGCGTCTGATACTGTTCGCACAAATTCACGATCTCGGGCACCTCTTCCAACAACTCGGCCATCCTCTCACGGACTTCGGAGTGTTGTGTCATGGCCTGTGGTATTTGTCAGCTTCAATATTACGAGGTATCTAGGTAATGAACTAAGCATAACGAACCGTCAAGATCAATGTCAGTCCTCCACAGAGAGTCTTGTATTCTCCATCGGGCAAGAGGCCCACGAAAGGCTGTATGGACTTTGCATTATCTCCAACACGCCGGAACGCGCCGCGTATATTTGACCATGTTGTATCATTCTTGTGGTAGTCTGTAACTACCCCGTGTATAACATCAGTGATCTCTTTCCAGTCGTAACAAGCGTCGAGGTCAAAGCTTGCTATCTTCTTGTCTTTGGCTTTCTTCGTTTTCAAGGCTGACAGCGCTTTCGAAAAACTTTCTTTGGTCGCGACAACCTTCAGCTTACTCTCCCGCAACTGCTCTTCGTAGTCGTCGGGCACTGCTCCACCGAAAGTGACCGGGGGAGCTACGAACTTTTGAGAACCGACGTCATATTTGCATGGCAGGTCTCCTTGCGCGTTGCGGAAAATTGTATTCCGATTTTCGATGAAGTCAACTGATATGGGCTGCATGGAGGGAGCGGGAAACCCGTCATCGGCCGAATGGTGGGGCGGCATGATCTCTAGTGACGGCAGGAAGTCGGCTGCATAGGAATGCACGACTTATGGCCGTCGAATGTGCAGGTTAGTTGCTCCTACAATCTGAACATGAAATTGCGGAATGCGCTCCAGCACTCAAAAGTGGGCGGTGGCAGATACCTGATTTTTTGTTTGACGAGGCTGAAAGCCCCAAGGCTGAGACGCGCAGCCTTGGGAACGTACCCAGATGCGCTTTACCAATGATACAAGGATGTACTACACCCACAGCTATACGAGTCGCATCAATTACTCAGCTCATGCGACGACATTCAGCTCACACCATCGAGGCGGTATTTTTGGGGGCCATTATGCAGCTGTCGGCCCAGTGGCGTTGTCGTTGTTATACGTCGGGCGGTTGGATATCTAACTGTGCCACCCGTAGACCACTGACTTTAGCCACGTTGGCGAGAATCCGGTCATACAGCAGCTTATATGCGGGCACGATGTACAGGGCTTACTACGAACTGTAGGCTAATAATTTAAGCAGGGCGATGCTTTACATACGAGGATTTGGATATGACTGCTTACCCGCCAGCATTACGGTAACCCACATAAGTAGGTATATGCACGTGTCATCATTGCATGCAGCAGTTCGCTTCTAGATAAGATTGGCACCATGCGAACTGAACGAAGCCTGATTGCGCGTGTAACCCCATCGCGTCATGGTGGCCCCCAAGGGTGAACACTCCAGCCCATGTTGTTATGTGCTCGGTGAACGCCACTCTTACTTCTCATCGCTACTCATAAATATGAAAGGAATCTAAAGGTAGATGTAGCGAGTAAGGGTGGTCGGGGAATGACCTAGGTAGGTAGGTATCACTCGCTCCACCGGTGAATAGGCTGATCCTTGCCGTGTCGATGCATGTGGATGCATGTGGATGCATGTGGATGCATGTGGATGCATGTGGATGCATGTGGATGCATGTCGTAACTGCAAGGCGTCATCTGGACCCCATCTTCTACTACTCTATTAGACTGGCATAAGACCAGGCGTTACTAGGTAATCCATATTAGTAATAAACCGAGTCGTCTGGATGCTAGTATGAACGCGAGTGGCCCCGCACTGGCGAACACCGTTCATTTGTATCTTCTATAGGGTGTCTGTACTATCACTAACAACTCTCATCGGCCATTCAGAGATACCTCGCCTGAATCCGCAAACTCGGGTCGTTTCTAAGTACCCTAAGGTGGGTTTCAGTTCGATACTTTTGCAGAGATGGAAAGAATCTGACTCTTGCACTGTCTAGGTCAATTTGGAGTACTCAAAGATCCTAGCGAGAAGCCTATGCTGCAATGGGAGGCTCTGATGACTCGGGAGTAGTGTTGTCTACGAGCGTTGAGCAATCTGATTCCAGTACGCTGTGATGGTCCTTCAGCTTTGACGATTGCTGAACACATGGTAGATGAAGTCGGCGCATCCGAAAAGGCCAGCGAGATCCCTCGGCACAACACAGGCAATCTCCCTGGCGATGAAGTACCTAGCAAGCCGAAGGAAGACCCGGCTTTGCCAGAGCCGGGACTGAAGGACGACAAACCACAATCTGCAAACCACAACCTCTCAGTAGCAAGCGCTGAAGGCACAGAGGGACCATCAGCTATATCCGAAGATCGCGCGAGTGACTTTTCAGATTCCGATGAAAGCGATGCTAGTGCTGGTACAGATGTCGACGGGGAATTGGAGAGAATGAGAATCACGTTCGACGAGCTGGAGGAGCGTAGAAAGCAGGCACCAAGACGCGTCAGACAAGCAAATCAGTACAGAAGAACTCTAGAGAAGAGACTCACAATTCTAGAACAAAGAACCACCGCCTTTGACAAGAAGCTCCGCAGGGTAGTGAACGGTGACGACGAACTTCCATCATCAGACGAGGACTCTGAGGATGATTACATTGCGCTAAAGCCCGGGCTCAACTTCCAACTCTCGAAAGGCTTGAAGCCCGTACCAGGTGCCGCAACAGTGCCCGTCACCCACGAAATCGACGTTTTCATTGGAGAGCCAGAAGCACAGAAGGGCGAGAGGTTTCGGCGACGAAAGACGCAACTCACCGCACTGGAAGACGACGGGATAGATGACCAAGACATCACAATCGAATCGATCTCGGAACGCTCATCTCAGACCATCGACGAGAGAAGGCTTGCTGAAGAAAAAGAGAAGACGAAGAACAAGCACTTTCCCAACCGAGTTCGTTTCAACACGCCCGCAATAGTGTACCTGCTCCGGAAGTACTTTGGGAGCGAAAGTAGTTTTCGCGACGATATCGTGCTGCGCCCTTTCAAGCCTCTTCTTCAGAACAGGGATGATATACTCAACATCATGTCTGAATTGGCTTCAGCTCTGCATCGACTTGTCGACCAGCGCGCAAAGAAGGGTACAGAACCAGATAATGGCCCCAAGGATACCGGAAGCCCCGAAGAACCATACGAAGTCAACTCAAAAAAACTCAAAAAAACTCGCAAATCAAAGAATGAATCTAAGCCTTCGAAGATGAAAGAATACTCAACTACCCCTGATGCAATCACAGCAGACGAATGGGACGTCGTCCTGAAACAACTCGAGCTTTTTGACGAAAGCAACGGGTGCCATGGACAGAACATATGGAAATCCTGGCCCAACCTATCCGAGGTCGAGAAGACCTTTAATGCCCTCAGAACCCTGCTCGATAACTATCTGGTGCCTGGCCACACAGACTTCAGAGAGCGTAAGGCTAAGAAAGTACGATTTTGTGATCTATGGCATGTATTCCAGACCGGAGACATCGTGGTCACGAAGCGATTGGCAAATTCGAGTGAGACCGAAACCCACGCTCAACTAGGCATGAGGGTTCTCATGACAGCTGGTGGTAGAAGAGTCATTATGCCCAAGCTGCCTGCCCCAGTAATGCCATCCTCAGTCAATCTATCGACCGCCAAACATGATATTGAGCCAATCAACGGCGTCAACCCGTTCATCGTTCACGCACATTACCTGGATTTTGACGGTGTCAAACTGGTGCCTGTAAGACGTCGGATCGTGATTGCTCCATACACAGGAGAACGAAACATCTCGGATCTAGAAGTCGTCCCAATCGAACATGCTGGGGCCGCAGCCGACACGCTCAAAGAACGAGGCGAGAGATTCATCAAGTTCGTTTTGGCTTCCACAGCGCCATATGTAGACTGTAAAGGTCTTGAGCTCCGCACTCGCGAGGAGATCAACGACAGAGTCATCGTTGACATGAAGGGCTATCTTGGTACAAACCCTGGGGAGATGCCCACCTTCAAGGAGCCAGAGGAGCTGGACTTGTCAGAGACGAGTGATTGTGGTCTTGGGAAGACCTGTACGTATTCGTGCTTCTCGTGCTATCATCGCACCTCGGTCGTGCATGATCAGCTTTCGGATCTCGCTGCCTATCAGGAGTACATTGATGATAAATCCGTGTTCAACACGATGTCCGATGTACCAAAGGCAGGCGCCATAGAGCCTGATGATTTCATCATCTGCCATTACCGCGTTTTCGCTTACAAGCTGCGATCGCGTGAATGGGGTAAGTTCTCAGCGTTCTACAACATCAAGAAGATACTAAGAACTAGTAGTACACGTAAATGTCAAAGATCTGGAACCGCCGAAGGAAACCGAGAAAGCCAGAGGGTTCGAGAAATTGGTCTTATCGGAAGACCACAAGCATATTCTCGAATCTCAAGTCCGAGAGCACTTTCGTAAGAGAGGGTCGCAGGCCTCTGATGGAAACACAGAGAATGACATGGATTTGGTACGGGGCAAGGGGCAAGGACTCATCATCCTTCTTCACGGTAAAGTTCATTTGCCTAACGTTGGTGATTTTAACTGACCAGTCGTAGGGGCTCCGGGAGTTGGCAAAACCTGCACCGCCGAATGCATTGCTGACTTGATGGAAAAGCCGCTGTATCCCATCACATGCGGTGACCTGGGAAGCTCCGCAGACGACGTCGAGAAGAACTTGAAGAAGCACTTCACTCTTGCTAGCCGCTGGGATTGCGTGATGCTGCTAGATGAAGCAGATGTGTTCCTCGCCAAAAGGATGCTGGAGGACCTCCAGCGCAATAGCATCGTGTCGGTCTTCCTACGCATGTTGGAGTACTATAAAGGCCTTCTCTTCTTGACTACCAATCGTGTAGGCACATTTGACGAGGCATTCACCTCCCGAGTGCACATCTCGCTGTTCTGTAAGTGTTAAGTTATTTCACTCAAGTAACAGCACTAATGTCATTATTCTAGACCCCGACTTCGATAAAGAGACTACGCTCAAAGTGTGGAGAACTTTCATCGACCAAACCAAATACGTACTGCGAAACAGTGGGCGCAGTAAGGTCACTATTGCGGAAGACGAGATCATGAAATTTGCCGAGAAGCACTATGACAGAAACGAGAACGCAAGCTGGAACGGGCGACAGATCCGAAATGCCTTCCATACCGCAGTAGCCATGGCTGAATTTGGCGCTCGAAACAAGAAGGACGATACAGGATATGACGACCACAAGGATGCGACAATCAAAGTAGGGAAAGCAGAGTTCAAGAAGATCGCCAGGACCGCAGAGGAGTTTGAGGAATACATGGAGGATACGATGAATGGAACCTTCCGCGCGAAAGCATCGAAAGCAGGGCTGAGAAAGGATCAGAAAGTGCAGAAAGAGAGGGTGAGGGAGAAGACGACAAAGAAAAAGAAGAAGCAGTCCAAATCGAAGAAGAAGAGCGAGTCGAGCTCAGGTAGCGAGAGTGAGGATAACGATGATTCTGAAAGTGATTAGTGGAATGGAAGAGCAGGGCAGACCTCTGGACACTCTTTTGTATAATGACTCTCCTATTATTGATTGGTTTTCTTCGCATGATCTTTCGTATCGAATAGCTAGAATGGATGATTATGAAAATATGGCCTTGCGCAATGATGTCGATGAAAGGAGAATATGCCCTTGCGCGTCGAGGACAGTGTGCCTGGGGCTGGTCATAGCGCCTCACGTCATTCTTCACCTGCCGAGGCATCTCGCCGCTCGCGCACCTCCAGTGCATCATCTACATTGTACAACCACACATCACATCACAGACCCGGTATGAACGAGATTCAGAATGCATTAGATTATGCCATTATCGCGACGCTATATACGCCTACGCAGAGCTAGTAGCTGAGGCGACAGGCAGGCTAACCGGCATGGGAGTACCGGAAGCCGAAGCTGTTGACGATGAGCCGCCGCCACTGCCACCACCACCACCGTTCTTCTTCTGGACGACCGCGGATACAACTTGACCAGCGGTGTTTGTCACGATGTCGACGAGCGCGTTGAGAGGCTCGTAGTTGAAGGTCTTCTGTGTCATTCCCTGGCCAACCTGCTTTGCGCTTCCAGCGACTTCGGTCATGTTGAGCTGTATCTCGGGTCAGTGGATGCAACTTGGTATGGTATTAGAGTATGCTTACCTTGAAGTTTCCGACAATCTGCTGGAGGGCGTCTCCGCCGCTTCCCACGACCTCTTGGACGATGTTACCGAGGTTGTCGACCAAGAAGTTGAGCGTCTTTCCGTTTTGCGTAATCGATCCAAGCTATATGCTGTTAGTTGGTTTCTGACATTGAGCCATTCGGATACGTACAAGGCCGTCGACTGCACCGATCACTTCTCCGACCAAGTTGGTGACGTTTCCGATCAAACCGATCAGGAGAGGGTTCAGGTCCAAAGAGTCAAAGACACGCTCAACGATAGAGACCAGGTTGCCCAATCGTACAATCAACTCGAGTTCAACATCTACATCAGCAATAGTGATGTTGACCTTCTCCACGGCGACCTGGACACCAGCATTGATCTGAACGAGACCGGCGACCTTGGCGTTGAGGTTAAGATCTGCCTGAAGCTTCTCGACACCTAGTTCAATCCTTCCAACGTGCAGTTCAGGGACGCGGAGAAGCACATCTGGGGGCGAAGATCCAGTTGGCGCAACCTCTGGCGGTCTCGTAGTAGTTCCGTTGCCTTGCGGTGGGGTGCTGCTTGTAGGTGCCGGGGTTGAAGGAACGCCAGATGACGACTGCGCAGAAATGAGTGTAGCGAAAGTAAGAAAAATGCTGATGAGCAGTAGGCGGATAGAGAACGACATGTTGGCGTGAGCGGCGACGACAGCAACAACAACGGCAATAGTAACGAGCGAGACAGCCGTACAAGTATCAGCAAACCACGACCCACGTACCGGTTATAGCGAAGGAATCCCGTTGCAAATCAGCGGGCACGGCAATCATGCACATGGAGTATTGCAAGGATTCCCATAATGGTAATCTCGGGTAAAGCCCCCTATGCAGCCGCGCAGGGGTTCCTACAAGGCTGGATCGCACCATCTGGAGCAGTGCTAAGGCATGAACATGTAGAAATCCTGATTCCGCATACGAACTGCCGGTTTTCTGGATTTTCTATCGAATCGCAGGTGTGGGAATGGATCTCCTTAATTTCCGTTTTTCTTGCTAGCGTAGGTGGATGACGGGTAATGGAAGATGGTGCTATGCACATGATCCTTGTAAGCAACTCACTACTACTCCACCCGATGGTAGTGTTAACCGTTGCGCCCGCCCGTCTTTCTTGTCAATTGACGACATCCATTGAGTTGTTGCTTCCAGTCTTTCGCTCTTTGTTCAGCAGCACGTCGACTTTCGGCCAGTCTCTCTTTCAGTACCAGTCAAGATGTTGTCGATACTACCTACCATTACACTCCTTTCGTTGCCGTTTCTTGCTGTCTGCCAATCTGCATCCGATGGCTACAGTGGTTACAAGCTCGATGTACGAGATGACGGTGACCCAGCTGCCGTCCTCTACGAAACAGAAAACACATCCTCATCCAACATCTCCGCCTTGAGCCCCGTCCCAGACGTCCTCCTCAACGCATCCGTTCACGTCGGCGAGATCTTCATTGGCGTCGACAACCTCACCGCAAAGATCAACCTCGACGCTCAGGTCCTCCAGTTGCTGCAGTTCAACGCCGGAGTCGACCTATCCATCGACAAAGTCACCCTCCTAATCCAAAACGTCACCGCAAAAGTCTACCTCGAAGCCCGTCTGGGTAACCTCGTCAACATGGTCAGCGACGTGCTCGACAGCATCGATCTCAACCCCGTTATCGCCGAGCTAGGAAACGGTCTTGGCTCCATCATCAACGACACTGCTGGTCTCGTTGGCGACGTCGCCGGTGGTCTCACCGGAGGAGGCAACGACACCTCTGCTCAAGCCAAAGCGAAACGCGACCTCGACTTCCACCAATGGGATCTCCGCAACAACATCCTCTACTCCATCAACAACTTCGAAGGCAACGCCAACAAACGCCGTGTCCTTGCTCAAAACGGTGATATCGTAGAGCAAGTCCTCGATAACTCTGGTACCATCTCCTCAACTAATGTTGTGGGTGATTACCTCAAGAGCATGAGATTCAACGGGTTCAACGAGAGTGTGACCTATAAGGGTGAAGAGGTCTGGGAAGAGGAGTACGTGTACGAGCCCTTCATGGGTCTCTACTCTATTTCTGGTGTGTTTAAGAGCAAGAGTAATGGCGAGGTTGTTGGTACGCAGCTTTTGGCTGAGGCGAGAGGGGGCGGGAGCGCGAGTATCGGGAATGAGAAGGCGTAGGTGCTTTTGATACCCACCCGCATAGCTATTCAAAGTGTTTTGCGAATGGAATATGTAATGTCTGAACTCTTGTGTTGTTGTGCTCTGCATGCATGCCCGTCTAGTGACTCTCCCACATCAATCTATCACGATCACGTCTTTGCTTTTCCCATGCACGCACGCCTCTTTCATTTCACTCTGCACACATAAACCAAAACGGATTCAATGTTGGACTAGCACCAGCCACCGCCAAGTATTGGGAAACCCAACGGTTAAATTCCCATGAACGATCGCGTGGTTCGGTTTCACAAAAACCATCCGTGCGGGGCACGCAAGATGTGCGAACCGAGATTTGACATGCACCATGCAGTCGGATATGCCATGAATAGGCCTGTGGGCCTAACGGTCGAGATTTGTGATCTGAGCTTTTGGATCGACGATGATGTCACGGGGAACAGGAGTCATGGACTAATGCGATCTTATTCCGTGAGATATAGCGGAGTGGGAGCATGGAAGATGGAGATGGAGATGCAGTGTTTAGTGCAGCATAAATGGTTTGCTTCGGCCAAAGCGATGGATGACGAGAAAGGTAAGAGATGAGGGACGGATGGGACGGGAGAAGCGCGCAAAGGTTGGAACTTCATAAAGTGCTTCATTGTTGCCTGCGTTCATTCGTCGTTAAAACGCACCTAACGCCATGCCATGCTGTTACTGTGAGAGGAGATGAGAGTTTTCCGTACCGACCCCTAACGCCACATAATGCTCAAGACGATTTGTTTCCAACTCTTCGTGCAGCACCCTGATCCTCCCTACCCCTCGAGCCTACCCATCATATTCTTCCTAACCTTAGTGTTGACCACCCCTCCCACTCCAAACGCCGGCACAATCCTACAAATCCTCGCCGCAGCACTCTTCGCCCAATCCCTCAGCACGCGCCCCGCCCTGCCATCCACACCACCAACCCTAGCCTCAGGCCTGTTGTACAAATCCAGACCGAGTAAATGCAAGGGCGTGCTCACAAGCTGCACAGCAGCAGGCGTAACAAATTGCGCAACACTCAGCGCACCAACATATTTCTTGACCTCCGTGCCCATGCGCTCGTCTACCTTGGGCGCAAGCAGCGGTGGCAAGTTGAACGAAGCGAAAATAGTAAGGCAGTCGCGGACGGTGAATAGCGCGAATGTAGGCAGAGGAACAGGTCGTGGTGACGACCCTGGCGCAGCGAAGAGCCGCGTGAACTGATTGTCTTTATACAGACACAACGCTAGGTTCGTTGTACTCGTAGCGAGGAACTTGCTTGTACCACTCGTTTGCTCTTGTAAACCTTGCGTAGGCTTTACGGTCGCGGACGCCGTATCGATGCTGTTGGCGGTGAAGTAGGTACCGAAGTACAGACTGAATATCAGGACGAAGGGTTTGCTGGCGAGGAAGCGGTGCGGTTTCGCGAGGAGTTCGATTGCGCTTTTCTTCAGACTCTCGCCGAGACTGTTACGCCCGCTGGCGTTTTCGATGATGCCTTTGTCGATCATGGTTATGATGGGTGCGACGAGTATGCCTGCGGAACCGGCGGAGAGGGCGTCGACGCCGATGCGTAGACCGAGTTTGGACGTGTTCCATTCGTGGGATGTTTCGTTCGAGGTGCTGGGTTTGCGCATCGTGGGGAGCGGTAGGTTTGGCTTGGGGATCGCGATGGAGGGTGTTGCGACTTTGGGTACGGTTGTTTGGTCTCTGTGCTCGTTGGCTGCGTGCGGTTTCATACCGCTGGCTTGTTCTTCCCCCATTGCAGCTTCCTCCGGTGACTGATAAACTCTCTCTTTGTGTGCTGCATGGAATGCTTGAAGTTTTGACGGTGCGTTTTTCGCGGGCGCTTCACGCTTTACGACTTTTACAACAGTTTGCCCGCTGTTTGGACCAGGGCGACAGAGGTGTCGTAAGTGTACAACACAGGACAGGCTGTTGTTGAGGGATTTGATACAAGCCGCTGACGAAGATATCGGAGTTTACCTGAAAGTTCGCCGGCGAACAAACACCGACGTCGGAGCAAGAGCCGCCGAACGGGTATCACGCGCATTGATTGGTGCACGTCATCGGGCCCTGCATCGTTCGTCGCTCATAGCCATGTTCACGATGGGTAGCATCGGCTGAGACGTGTGGGTGTTTACTGCATGGCATGAGGAATTAAATGCAGGGTCCAGCGTGGGGAGCTGGCCACGACTGACGATCCGGGGTATGGTGGGTTGGGACACAACACTTGCTCTCTCGCTAGGTGCACAGTCTGAGTACGTGATGACGGAAAGTTCTTGAGGAACTGATAACTGAAGGGCAGAATTCATTTGTCAAAATTTATCGGACAAGTCATGATAACTTCGTTTTTGCAACCAGGGCATGCCTACTCAACAAGCAACTCACGACTCATGCTGTTTCTGTCTCCCGGGTCGGTAGGCTATCGCGGCTGCGAGACGAGCAACTTAGCCGAAGCCAGTTTCCGAAGAATACCGATGTCGTAAGTATCTAGTTGATGGCGTCAACTAGTGACCGGTGATGTGTACTGGGAATGCGGAGATGGGGTGAGGAGTGGAGGCGGTGTGAGATAGCTGTGACAGAGCGACCAGGTGATGCGCATGCGAAGGTCGGTCTGACCCTTGACTAGTGTGGTAGTCATGAACATAGTATTCGCCTCGAAAGCTATCTTAGTCTTCTCAACAATTCGCTTGCATGTGATGCGCCTAAACTCCAATACACCCTAGGAATCCCGCAAGGGACTGTTGCTTGTATCTCAATTCCTCAGAGCACGCAGCCTCTCGGTAAATGCCTCTTCTTCTTGCTCCGTGGGCCCAACCTTCGTCTTTGCCGGTGTTGCTTCTTGGAGATCTTGTTGTAGATCCACGCCTGCCTTGTCTGCCGCCTGCGCCATCAGACGGTCTACGTCCTCTTGTGGTGTGCCGACTGCGGTGGCAGAGGAGGTGATATCCTGGTAAAGTTCGGTGGCGGAGTCTACGTTCTCGAACTGCTTTTCGAAATCGACCATGACGGAGGCAATCTAGGTGTTGTCAGCGCTGTCCTGATCCCAATAGCTGTGGATGTCGCATACCCTCTCAGGACTCATAGACTTCATAGCCACGTCTAGACTGCGGTTGACCTTCATCATGTTGCCTGTAATCTGTCGCATCGTGACGGCGGTTTGTACGCGGCCTGCGACGGCATCGACGCGCGAGGCGAGTTGTAGCAGGTTGAGCTTCTCATTCTGCTTGCGGATGGCGTTTCCGGCGTATATGCGGGCGATGTCGTTGTGGCCCTGCTTCATAGCCTGAGATGGTGTTACTACGCGTTCTTGCGCTGAAAAGACATGATACAAACCTTTTCCAGCTTGGTCTTCTCAGCCTGCTCCTCCTTGCCAGCTTTGAGCGCCTGCCTGTTCAGCGACTTGGCCGTGAACTGAGGGGGGTCAGCGTATGGTTAGTCAGCGCCAGCACACAGTGGCTGACCTTGAGGTTAAAAAGCGCATTCTCG